TCAAGACAACAGAGGTTCTCCATGGACTTCTTCAAACACTGCCAAGGGATATTTTATATCCCCTGAGATGGTGTATGTATTTAATGTGCCACTCGCAGAACAATATTTTTGAAAGTGACGCTTTTGGAGTGGGACTTAAAACTATGGCATTCTGACACAGAGTTAAGAGTGCTACCATTGACCCAAGGTTCAATTCACACATCAGAAGTGCAGGCATTCAGCCATCATGTCTCATCAACAGCTATCCAATTAGTCCCACAATCCCTTTTTCTTTCCACATAGTGCTGCAATTTTCTCTCCTTCAAGTATAAGTCTGATTTCATTTATTACTTTTGAATCTATTCCATCACTGCTTACTGATTTCTAATTATAATCAGGTGGTTTTTAAAATGTATCACCTCTGCCTTTTTTTGCTAATCACCTTAATTCTGTGTCTGTAAGTTGCTGACCTTTTTTCCCCCACTGGAAACAGTTTTTCCTTAATTAATCTATCTCTTCATGCTTTTGAATGTCTCTATTATATTTTTCCCTCTGTCTTTTCTACTTTAAGATAATCAATTCCAGCTTTTCCAGCCTTTCCTTATTATTGAAGTTCTTGGTCCCTGGGGGTTTATTAAACTTCCAGTGCACCTAACCCCAAAGCAACCCCAGAACCCCAAATCAAAGCACCTAACCCCAAAGCAAACAAAACCAGAAGAGTTCATTTCGTTTGTATGCTAGTCACTAACATTTAGGGGGGCAAAAGCTGCTTCTTTGCTCTTTCTCATGCCATTCTGCAAATAGTTGCAAGGATTTTTTTTCTGAATTCATTCTTTCAATTTTCAGAATTAGTTTTCAGCCAATACCAAATCCACACTGTTCCCTCACAGTCAACTCTAACTCTGAAAGCTCCTCTGTGATTAGACCATTCCTAATGATGCTTCAACGCTGGCGCTATATGTGTATGCTTCCAATCAGGGAAGATCAGATCTTATTGTATCATAGGTAATTTTGAAAAAGCAGGTGGATTACATGTGAAACCATAATTTCGCATTTGAAAAAACCTAGTTGATGGCTTAAGTACAACATAATCTTGCAGCATAAATGTTTCTAGTATTCCCTTCATTGAATTCTGTTGCTCCAGTATGTTCTGTTGCTGCATTATGTAACAGGGTAAGTAGTTCTGTGGGAGTTGACACTTGGACTGCAGAGCACACTGTCATGGACGGATGACTTATCTTTAAGATGTAAATGGAAGAACATCAATAATTCCTTTTTGCAGAATCCATTTCCTTCCAATTATGTCCCTTTGGTTTTGCTTGCACTATTAATCATATATGAAACAAATCACATTACTTGTACCATGTTGACCTTGAAAGTAATTAATCCTGGCAAACTGGAAATTCTCAGTAACTTATTTTCTTTAGCACATTACTTTCTTATTTTTAAATTATTTCCTAAGTAAGAGAATTTAGTTTTAATTTCCTAATCTACCTTAAATGCTGCTTAGTATCATCTAGTCCAAAATTTCTGTTCAGTATTGAAGGATGCCTATATTGGTGGAGGTGCCGTCTCTTGAATACAGTATTAAATTAATATCCTAACTGCCTTTTTGAGTGATATATAAAACCTCATACCTGCTGCACCTATCCGTATGACAATAGCAACTTTAAAACCAATTCATTCACTATGAAAACGCTTTGGGACAGCCTTCGCACACAATACGGTATCATACAACTAGAAGTTCTCTCTGCTAACAATGATGTGACAACTGAAATAGTTAAGAAAGGCTATAAGATAAAGGAGCAGAATTAGGCCATTCAGCCCATTGAGTCTGCTCCACCATTCGATCATGGTTGATATGTTTCTCAACCCCATTCGCCTGCCTTCTTGATTGATCAAGGGTTACTGGAAGAACCTACCTCTATCTTAAATATACTCAATGACTCAGCCTCTTTCCGCGGCAACAAGTTCCACAGATTAGCCACCCTCTGCTGGAAAAATTCCTCCTCATCAGTTCTAAAGGGCCGTCCCTTCACTCTGAGGCTGTGCCCTCAGGTCCTAGTGGAAATATCTTCTCCACACCCACTCTATCCAGGCCTCTCAGTATTCTGTAAGTTGCAATAAGATGCGCTTTCATCCCTCAAAACTCCATCGAGCACGGACCCAGGGTCCTCAATCACTCCTCATATGACAAGCCCCTCACCACTGGGATCATTCTCATGAAGGTCCTCTGGACTCTCTCTAACACCAGTACATTCTTCCCTAGATACAGGGCCTAAAACTGCTCACAATAGTCTAAATGCGGTCTGACGGAGCCTTCAGTAGCCTAAGTACTGTCTCCCTGCTCTTGCATTCTAGCCCTCTTGAAATGAATGCTAACATTGCATTTGTCTTCCAACTGCCAACTGCACCTGCATGTTCCCTTTAAGACAATGCTGAACTGGGCCTCCTAAGTACCTTGTGCTTCGGATTTCCATAGCCTACGCCTCTATTCTTCCTACCGAAATGCGTAACCTCACACTTTCCCACATTGTATTCATCTGTCACTTCCTTGCCCACTCTCCTCGCCTGTCCGAGTCCTTCTGCAGCCTCCCTGCATCCTCAACACTACCTGCCCCTCCATCTATCTTTATGTCATCTGCAAATGTAGCAACAATGCCCTCAGTTCCTTTGTCTAGATCATTAATGGATAACGTGAATACTTGTGGTTCTAACATAGACTCCTGTAGAACACTAGTCACTGACTGCCATCTTGAAAAAGACCTCTTTATCCCCAATGTCTGCCTTTTGCCAGTCAACCGGTCCTCTATCCATGCCAACACCATGGGCTCTTGTCTTATTTAGCAACGTCCTGTGTGGCACCTTGTCAAAAGCCTTCTGAAAATTCAAATAGATCACATCCACTGGCTCTCCTTTGTCTAAATTGCTCATTACCTCCTTAAAAAATTCTAAGAGGTTTGTCAGGCATGACATCCCCTTGATGAAGCTGTGCTGACTCAGCCCTATTTTACCTTGCACTTCCAAGTTCTCCTGGTTTGGAACAAAAACTAACAAAGCACATAAAGTTAAATAGTCGGTCATTTATCTCTTGCAAATAAAAAAGCTAACCCTATGAAGACACAGGAATGGCAAGAATACTGAATAATTACTTTGTCTTGGTTTTATAAAGAAAATGTGCACTCAGAGAAATTTGGTAGGCTTCCAGAGGACGAAATTGTAGTATAATGAGATGGATATAATAATGAGGGTGATCGATACCATGTGCAGCTATGTGCAAGAGACTGTTGGGTAACATGGAATGGTCTGTACTAGTGAGGGATATACTAACAGAGAACAGTATTACATACAATAATGTAAATAAAAGAAGTTGCAGAGACCTACCAGAGTCAGGCAGCAGTCACTCTTGGGTAAGGGGAAACCATTACAGGCCACATATAGAGAGAAGAGACAAGGAACAGTGATCTCACCAACGTGTTACAAGGTTAGAAGCCTGAACCACAAGTTTCATGGAAATAGAAAGTTATTTTGAAGCAACTAGGTAGGAACATTCTGAATTCAGGTAATCAATCTGCAACTCCATTTCTCCCTTCATAGATGTTACCACCTGCTGAATATTTCCAGTATTTTCTGGTTTTAATTCTGATATCCAGCATTTGCAGTGTTCTGGTTCAGAAAAAGCATCTTGTGCCTGACTTTGCAAGGAACCTATTAAGATTGATACAAAGACAAAAATTGCTGACAAAACTCAGCAGATCTGGCAGCATCTGTGGGTAGAAAGCAGGGTTAATGTTTTGAGTCTGATGACTTCATCAGAACTGATAGGAGCCTGGAAAATTTGGTATTTATGCTGAAGACAAGGTTGAGGGAGGTAGGAAGAGGTGAGCGGATAGTTGGAGACCTATGATGAGTGAAGACAGAGGCGTCTGGTGGCTGAGAAGAAATTGGACTGAAATGGACTGTAGTATTGAATGTTTGTATGCTTATTGTCAATGTAACGGAAATGTATTGTGGTGTGCTAATAGTGTAAAACTACAGGTTTTTAAAAATGAACCCATCTTTGTAAACCGATGGTCTTTGTTTAAAAGGGGAGGAGGTAAGATGATACTGCGATTTCAAGAGGGATATTTTGTCTGGAGTTCTCTTTTTATGAAGAGCAGTTGAGATAGTGGTATAGAACGGTCTGCTTCAAGCCAATAAAGTAAACAGCTTGTGAGGCCATGTTATTTTTAAGTTGGAACAATAAAAGCAGCACCAGCACCTGGTGGCATCAAGCTCCCAAAGAACCAGGATTTTGATTTAGCTTTCAGTAGCTGTTGAAGTTTGGAAGATACTATACATCTCTCCCTGTTACAGCAAAACACTTGAGTTCTCTCTCTCAGAATTTTCTGTTGATGTTCTTTCCTCCTGAACTGAAGAAACGTTGTGTATGAGACAATCTGTTTTACTGAATTTCCCTGTGCAAAGGATGTGTTTATGGGGCCTGGGCTATCTTCTTAATATATTTTTAGAGGATTTGTTCTGGTCCATAACAACCAAAAGTCTTGCCCCCAGCAGCTGGTGGATGGTGTTCGGCATATTAAGAAGGAAAAGTTAGATGTAGAAAGTCAAGGGCTGACAACAAGCAAAGGAACAGCAGCAAGATATTGAGAAGGCTAAGGAGCACTCAGTTCAGACAGAGGTCACAAGTACAGGGCCCTTCAGGATGTGTAGTGTCTGCCAGAGAACCACAGTTTTTGCCCCAAACTCTATTAGCAAGGTGAGCAAAGTGCAGTGTCAACACAGGCTTGGTCAGGGAAGTCCAAGAAGCCATGCTGATTTGCTAAAGTCAAGGCACAAATGTGAGGCTAATAAAATCACCTGGATGATCTCCAGTATTTTTGTGGCATGGATAAGGAAAGTGGACAAAACATAGCAATGGTAAAAAAGTAAGATTGTCATTATTCAGATAATTGCCCTGTGCATCCTGACATCGCTGGACTCAAGAACATCAAACTGATAATCTCAGTTTGACATCTCAGGTTATAGGAGTCATCAATAAGAAGAAAGAGACCATGTTCACGATAAAGAAAGAATTGAAGATGGTGAAAGAGGTCACAATTGCCAACTGCTTCCATCATGCTGGTTATAAACAGTCTTAACTGTACAAGATGCCAAGAATGAAGAGGATCAGGGTGAGGCCAACCAGCCTGATGACTAGGCACTTTTCGCTTGCCTATAGGAGATGTGAATGGAAATTCCAGCAGAGAAAACAATGGAAACTTATACTGAGATGGATGGTACTGTACATTGCACAATGGAACTGACGAATCAGGCAGTCGTAAATATGGTACCATCTCCAGGGTGATTGGCGTCCTGAGGCTCCTTATTCAAAGAGTCTGATGAATGCCTACCCACTCACCTGCTTGTTTTATCTGCTGAGTCACAAAAGCCATAGAGATACCCTTGATTTTGCACTGCAACACAGAAACACTGTAAAGATGTTTTTCCGCATTGACGACATGGTGAACTGTCTCACACTTGTCAAAAGACAAAGTGCTAAGTAGACAAAGATGATCGAGCTTCTCTAGCACTAAGTCCCAACTTTTTCCATTACCGTACAAAGTTAGACCATTGTAGGGTGTGAAGAAACTGAAAAATAAAAACATTTTTCACATTTTACTGTGTCATTTTGTTTTTATTAGTCTTTTTGAACATAAACCACATTTGTAAGAGCCATCATAGGAGCTTCATAGGAGACATCTCAGCTGTCTCAAAGCTCCAGTCAACACAAATTTACCATTAGGTCACCTTCAGCTTGTTGCATGTTACTATAATTCAACCTGGTTAAAATTATATTACAAGTTAAGCCACAATACAATAGATGTTTGGGGCTTTGTTTTGAAGATTTCTGTGGTTCTTCTGCCGAAGCTACAGCAGACATGGATGAGTATCCCTACATATATTCACCCTGTGAGGCAGTGGTATAATATTCATTGGGTTTTGTCAGTCATTCTTCACAAAATAGGTTTGTGCTATTATCCAGAACAGTGTGACGTGAGGTACAGTGGCTGCAATCCAATGGACATGAATTAATCATTTTGACATTTAATGCAATAAATCTGCAGATTTGTATGTAATTGATCTTTTGATATGAACTCCCAATTAGTTCACCAAGGTACTGCTACATTTATTGTACTTTGGTCTTAATATTCGATTGACTCCCAATGCCCTTGAATGTGATTTGCCCAATTCCTGAGAATAATTTTTAAAAACAATTTGGGAGAGACCCCAAATGGTTACAGAGAGACATTATAGCAAAATTGAAGCTAAAAGAAAAACCTACAAGATGGGTGGGGAAATGTTGAGGAATGTTGTTAATTGATGTAATGCAAGTAATTTATAGCAAGAAGGTGATGTTCCAACTAACCAGAATGTATTGGCAATAGATATGAGAAACTTTACAAAAATCAATCTGACAGCAGTAGGAACACAGTATTGAATATTCAAAAAGAAGAACTGTCTTCATCGTTTAATTTTAATTCCTCTGCAATGGAGGTGGTGTCCTGTAATTTTAATTTGAATATAAGTAGTAGTCTGAATGAAAGCATAAAAACTTGTATCCACCCATTATGTGCATGTTGGAAAGCTTCTGAATGATCCACCCATTTGCCTTTCAATATATACTAAATGGAATTGTCATGAATACCTTTATTAATTCAGTACTGTATCATACCATACCTGAAATCATAATGTAATTATTCTTACTTCTTTTGTCACCAGGAGGCACTGGAGACATATAAACCAGATTTCATCTCTCGATCACAGAAGCGTATCCAACAGCTTGAGGTTAAGGCAAAGTGGAGGAAAATCCAGTTGGCTGAGCCAATGAAACTGCAAAGGAAAAGAATGGAACTTCCAGTACAAAACATGCCATTCCTTTTGCCATTTAAGAAACGGCAATGTACCGTGCCACATCCTTTGAGTGGTAGGTTCTTCCTCATTGCAAACTTGACTTATAAATTACATGAAGAAAGCATACTCTTGTATTTAGAAAAGTGGATTAACTTTAGATACTTCCTTCAGTTGAGTAAAAATCATTTCATCCCAAGATATTTAGTTTGCTTGATTTTTAAATTGTCTGTCAATCTGATTTGGTTTTCTCTGTGGGAGAATAATTTTCCCTGAAGTTTCCTGTGTAACCAACAATTTAGAGCATTTAGGTTTGATGGAATACTGGAACTAATCTATAGATAGCATTGCGCTGCAAACATCCAGTAATACATAAATATGGAAATGATTCCACTTGGTGGGGTGTGTAAGTGCCTTCTTGAGGTAGGTCATCAGTAGCCAGGCCAACATATTTTAGAAAAATTTTGGAAATGTTATGTTAGACACACCCAAACCAAAACAGGATTTGCTTTCAGGTTTATTTCATTTCTGTAGTGCCATATTGACATATCATAACTGGAAGTATTGTTGACAGATAGTGTACAATAAAATGTAACATCCATTTCTGATTGTGTTGCAGTAAGTTCACTTTGATGTATTATAAGAAAAACATGCAAGTGTTTAGTTCCCATATTGTGACTGCAGGATCAGTGAATTGTGCGTTTTGCATTTTCACAAGTTAGGAATTGTTAACCCCATTAAATCTACAGGGATTGGCCATGTTTTAAATTCGTTGCAAGTTTCCAACCACAATTGAGTCTGCTTCAAGGGGTGGGGGCCAAGAAATCCAGCATAACTGCAGCTCATAAAGAAGCTGAAGCTTCCATTTAGATTATTGGCAGCAGGAGTAAGATAGGCATCAAGTGAATCATGCTACAAGTGTGCAACTTTGGAAGACAACTATATGGTCCTCATAAAGGAGACCAGCTTTCAAGACCTCAAGTACGCAGATGTTCCTTCAAGAAGTAGAGCACAAAGGTTTTGCCCTGTATGCCACATAAATGTATACTTTCTGGATAAAAGGTGGTCCAGAGGGTCAACCTGATAGCTAATCTTCAAACAACTGAGAGAAAATATGGAACGGGTTAGGCTGCTTCAAATAATTAGCTGAATAAAGCTCATTAGTATTTTGTTGGTGGATGGTTAAAATTTGCATGCTATAGAGAATGCCTGTAATATTATCATGAAGCTCATTGCAAACTACTAATTCAATGCATTATTGTTCAAAATCATATATATACAACCAGGTGAGGAGGGTGATTTGCAACAAATATTTATTTCTTTTTTAGCACACAGCTATCACTCTTCAACTAAAAATGTAATTAATTAAATCAAAATGAAGGAGACAATTACAATGTTTTCTTGAATAAAAGAAAGCAGTCAGTAGCGAAGTCATTACCTACAAACCCAAGAAAAGACGATAAAATGTAATATCGAATACACATACAAACACAGATAATAATTTAAGAGGAAAGAACGTATCTGGTACAAATAGAAAGAATAAAGGCTGTGCAAAGTCCTTAAAGTCTTTGCATTTTTTTAAAACCAGAGACCATAGTTGTTTGAAAGTTGACTAGTATCCAATGCTTGGTGAATAACTTTTTTCCCCAGTTTGCTTTTGTCTGGGTGCTGTCTTCTGATATGATCAGAGGAACAGGCAGGGAAAGAAAGACAAAGAGAATCTTCCAGTTTCTGATCACAAATCCATTTTTAGTCTCTCCCCTGCTGCTTAAAAGTAGGTGTTGAAATAGGGTTAATTTGTGGGTTCCTGGGTCTGCTCCTATTGTCTCCCCAAGTTGGATGCTCAACAAACCTTTATGTCAATTGGTCATACAAACATTGGCATACAAGTAGGAATTAAAACAGGAGATATGAATTTCTTGATGCTGACTCAGTTGTCTGGTTTTGCTGCCTTTAGATAAAACTGTAATTTCAATGCAGGCAGTAATGTTTATTCCACTTGAGTCTCCAGCACTTGCCTCAATCTGTTTTCAGGTGATCATGGCAACCATTATAGGTCAGTATTTCTCTTTTATTAAACCATTTTGGTCCAAAAGCAGTCCTAGTTATAGTGGTCAGTTAATGGTAATTTAATACAATTTAATATCATAATTGGAGAGGTGGAGGATTGAAAATATTAGTAGAGAAGTAGGATGTCAGACTGGCATTGAGGAGCACAGGAAAAGAATAACGTGTGGAAGAAAATTAGTGGAAACGCAAGGAGGGTGTTGGAAACAAATTAGGAGTCAGAAGAGCTGGGAGAGATCAGAGTGGAGAAGCAGTAGGTGTTCAGACTGGTAATTAGAAAGAAGGGAGGAGAGGAATGAAACTAAATCATTGTGGTTTTGGACTGGAAAAATGTAAGGGTGTGGGGACCAAGAAAAGTCACAAGGCAGAATGCTTGAGATTCTGAGCTTCGAAGTAGGGGATGATGGCTGATTTAGATATTATAATGAGCTCTCTAAACTCTTGAAATTAGGTTCTGAACGTTTGCTTCTCAGTCTGGTGCACACTCCCCAACTCTGATTTAGGGCAAATTCCACTAATAGCTTGATTTTCATTCTAGGGTACAATGTGAACTGGAATCATATCAATTGACCTGAAAATATCCTCAAGGGCTACCAAGGAAGGCTGTTTAAAAGGCCTGTTTCAGGATTCTGGGACTCTGTCCCTGTTATAATAAAAAGAGTAAGCCTCTCTACCCCTCATCGCCATTCAATCACTATGTTCCATTCATGCCAAATCATGCCACCATTTAAGATTTATAGCCCCTCATACCCTCCATTGAAAATTATGCCCCTTACCCACACTTGCACCATGTATGCACTCACCTAGCATACAATGGGATCACCTCAGGAGAGATGTTGTGACTAAATAAAATAGAATTCCAAGTATCTATTACAGACTTTACTGCATAAAAAAATCTCTGTACTGCAGCTTTCTGCAGTCTTTCTCCATTTAAATAATATTCAGCTCCTTTATTCTTTCTTCCAACGTGTGTAATGTCACATTTTCCTGCATTAAATTCTATCTGGTAAGTTTTTGCCCATTCAGTTACTGTACCTCAGTCGCTCTGAAAATTCTTTCTGTTATCTTCAGCACTACATTTCCACTCATTTTTGCGTCATCTGCAAATGTTTTTATTTTATATTCACTTCATTCATTCAGGCTATTAGTATATGTTGTAAAGCACTGTGGTCATGGAACATATACTTCTGGCTATTACCAATAATTACCAGTTACCATCCTAAAAAATGGCCCCTTTATCCCAATTCTCTGTCTTCATTAGTAAGCCAATTCTCTATCCATGCTAATATAAACCTCTCAATATCATGGGCTCTTATTTTAATAAGTAAATTTACATGTGGTATTTTATTGTACACCTTTTGGAAATCTATATATATTTGATCTACTGATTGAACTTTATCTATTCTGCTTGTTACCTCCACAAAGAGCTCTAATAAGTTTGTCAGGCAAGATTTCCCCTTCATGAGGCCATCTTGACTGTGCTTGATTATATTATACATTTGTAAATACTATTATATCCTTTGTAGTGGATCTAACATTTTACCAAAAGCAGATATTAAGCCAACTGGCTTATAGTTACCTGTTTTTTTTAGTTCTTCTCCCTTTTTGAATAAGGGTGTTACATTGGCAGTTTTCCAATCCTGTGGGATCTTTTCCGGGATCTAAGGATTCTGGAAGATTACTTATTAGTGCATCCTCTATTTCCTTTAAAATCCTAGGATACAACCCATCAGATCCAGGGGATTATTTGGTCTTTAGTAGCAATATATTCCCTAATAATACTTTAATGGTTTTAATTTCCTCCCCTACTTTAGCCCCTTGACTATTATTTTTGGGAATATTATAAGGATCTTCTATCATAAATACAGTCGCAAAATATTTATTCAACTCCTCTCCCTTTTCCTGGTTTCCCATTGTTAATTTTCCAGTCTTGTTCTCTAAGGGCCCTATGTTCCCCTTGTCCTCTCTCTTTATTTTTATATATTTAAAGAAGCTCTTATTGTCCATCTTTATATACTTGCTAGTTTGCCCTTAGTTTATTTTTCCCTCTTTATTATTTTCTCAGTCATCTTTTGTTGACTTTAAGTACTTTTCCAATCCTCTGATTTATAATTTATCTGTGCCATATTTCACGTGTTTCTCTTCCAATTTAATACTAGCCTTACTTTTTTGGTTAACCTGGTTTGCCCCTTTCTAAAATCCTTCTTTCTCACCGGGATATAGTTTTGTTGTGAATAATGAATTATTTTCTTAAATGTCTGCCATAGTATCTCAACCATCTTTTCGGCTAAACTCCTCTTCAAGTCCACTGCAGCCAATTCTGCCATGATCCCTATGTAATTACCCTTATGTAAGTTCAGCATGGTTGTTCTTGACTCTATTTCCCCACTCCCAAACTGAATGCTAAATCCTACCATGTTATGGTCTCTGTTCCCTTAGGCATCTTTTACTTTGAGATTATTTATTAAACTAGTCTCATTACATATTGCCAGAGCCAAAATAGCCCAATGTTGTATGTAAATGGAAACTGTCCTGTTTATACTCTATGAATTATTTCAGAAAGTTCTCATGCACAAGTGAAAATTATGTGTAGGATGGCACCATGATTGAGATCTCAGCTCTGTTCATCAAATGTTTGGTTACCCGTCTCACCCAGGATTAGAATCAAACATTTGTTGCTCAAACCCAAATTTATAAAATGAACAATTTCCCTACAGAAAAGTAATGATGACAGCAGAAGTTTGCAGTCCAGAATTACACAAAAGATGTACTATATTTCATTGAACATTTCAATGACCGACATCCTATACTTAGTTGTTCACCATATACAATTTTTAACTTGAGCAGATTCTAAAATTTAGGACCGCACTTACTGGCAATGTGCAGCAGCATACCAAGATTACTCGTAAAGTTCATAGTGATAAATAAAATAGAACTGCTGTAATAAACCATTTGGTGAACCCAAGAAATTGAACAGTAGCCATTCTATCTTGCATTATGAGATATGTC